ACCAAGACCAAACTAAGACCAGGCCAAGACCATACCCAGACCAAGATAAAATCAAGACCAGACCAAAACAAGGCCCAGACCAAGACAGCTGCAGCACAGATGGGGCTCCAGATACTTCTCAGTGCCTGAACATTGCAGACCATCATTCCACTTTTCTGCACCCAAGTGTTTAGCATGCATGCAGACATGAACAGTTTTATTGCTGTCTATGTCCCTACTAAGAAGATTTGCCTTCACTTCCTGTGCTATCTCCATCCAATACCTAAACCTGTCATATTTTTAATTCTCATAGGGTCACCAGCACAGGAAGTTCAGGAGAATCTTTCCAGTGGGGACAGCTGGACCGAGGTTCTAACCCTTCTCCAATGTACTAAAACCAGAAAATGACAATAAAAACCTTTCAGAGGGTCGTACCCCTTCCCATTAATTTTGTCTAGAATCCTACTTTATGCCAGGGACAGATCTACAAAGTCAAAGACTGAAAGGAGGATTATAGTAAAATGGAAAATCTGAAAAGGAGCAGGAAGTGTAGAGTAGTAAATAAATGTGGTTTTGGGGAATTCCTCTTGGGCACATCTGAGTTATAGCCTGATGATGAGTCTGTCAGCAGAATTATAGAAATGCACAGGCATTTTCCTGATGTGAAAAAAACAAAAATGCTTGCGGTCACAGAAGATTCACAGGTTACGTGTGACATTAGCTGAGAGGTTTCTGAGCAAAGAGGAAGTAGGAGATTCTGTAAGAGCTCAGGGCTGCTCGTCTCTTCTGTGCAATCAACAAACATACAGAATGCTGGGCCTGCTACTCTGTACCAGCAGCTTCAATCACAGTAATGCCCTGGCCTGTCCAAAACACCACAACGTACAAGCGACAGTGTCTTTGTCTTCAATAAAAAAAATATACTTACAGTATTTATTACAAATGTCTAAACAATTAATGATACATAAAAGTTGTTTATTTACTTGGCTTTCTTCCACTGGAGAACAATCCCATTTCAGAGCTGATGTAAAAGGAATAATAAAAAGATTAATCTCGGGTGTTTCCCAGTGCATTCGTTCGTACCAATTTTTTACAGTATATTGCTGGGCAAACTTTTTTTTCTAAATTAGGGGCTAGGTTGGAGTATAGGATTACATTTAGGGGATAGGTTGAGGTATAGGATTACATTTAGGGGTTAGGTTGGGGTATAGGATTACATTTAGGGGTTAGGTTGGGGTATAGGATTACATTTAGGGGTTAGGTTGGGGTATAGGATTACATTTAGGGGTTGGTTGGGGTATAGGATTACATTTAGGGGTTGGTTGGGGTATAGGATTACATTTAGAGGTTAGGTTGGGGTATAGGATTACATTTAGAGGTTAGGTTGGGGTATAGGATTACATTTAGGGGTTAGGTTGGGGTATAGGATTACATTTAGGGGTTGGTTGGGGTATAGGATTACATTTAGGGGTTAGGTTGGGGAATAGGATTACATTTAGGGGTTAGGTTGGGGTATAGGATTACATTTTATGGAGGTTAGGTTGGGGTATAGGATTACATTTAGGGGTTAGGTTGGGGGGAATTTAGGATTACATTTATGGGTTTGGGGTATAGGATTACATTTAGGGGTATATGTTGGGGATTACATTTATGGGTTAGGTTGGGGTATAGGATTACATTTAGGGGTTAGGTTGGGGTATAGGATTACATTTAGGGGTAGGTTGGGGTATAGGATTACATTTAGGGGTTAGGGGGTTGGGGTATAGGATTACATTTAGGGGTTAGGTTTGGGGTATAGGATTACATTTAGGGGGGTGGGGTGGGGTATAGGATTACATTTAGGGGTTTAGGTTGGGGTATAGGATTACATTTAGGGGGTTAGGTTGGGGTATAGGATTACATTTTAGGGTTAGGTTGGGGTATAGGATTACATTTAGGGGTTAGGTTGGGGTATAGGATTACATTTAGGGGTTTAGGTTAGGGGGGGTTGGGGTATAGGATTACATTTAGGGGTTAGGTGGGGGTATAGGATTACATTTAGGGTTAGGTTGGGGTATAGGATTACATTTAGGGGTTAGGTTGGGGTATAGGATTACATTTAGGGGTTAGGTTGGGGTATAGGATTACATTTAGGGGTTAGGTTGGGGTATAGGATTACATTTAGGGGTTAGGTTGGGGTATAGGATTACATTTTAGGGGTTAGTTGGGGTATAGGATTACATTTAGGGTTAGGTTGGGGTATAGGATTACATTTAGGGGTTCGGGTGGGTTGGGGTATAGGATTACATTTAGATTACATTTATGGGTTGGGGTATAGGATTACATTTAGGGGTTAGGTTGGGGTATAGGATTACATTTAGGGGTTAGGTTGGGGTATAGGTTACAGGGGTTAGGTTGGGGTATAGGATTACATTTAGGGGTTAGGTTGGGGTATAGGATTACATTTAGGGTTAGGTTGGGGGATTACATTTAGGGTTTAGCTTGGGGGGTTATACATTTGGGTATAGGATTACATTTAGGGGTTGGGTTGGGGTATAGGATTACATTTAGGGGTTAGGTTGGGGTATAGGATTACATTTAGGGGTTAGGTTGGGGTATAGGATTACATTTAGGGGCTTGGGGTTAGGTAGGGGGTTGGGTATAGGACTACATTTAGAGGGTTAGGTTGGGGTATAGGATTACATTTAGGGGTGGGTTGGGGGGTATAGGATTACATTTAGGGGATGGGTTGGGGTATAGGATTACATTTAGGGGTTCGGTTGGGTTAGGTTGGGGTGGGGGTATAGGATTACATTTATAGGATTACATTTAGGGGTTAGGTTGGGGTATAGGATTACATTTAGAGGATAGGTTGGGGTATAGGATTACATTTAGAGGATAGGTTGGGGTATAGGATTACATTTAGGGGGATATAGGTTGGGGGTATAGGATTACATTTAGGGGTTAGGTTGGGTATTGGGTATAGGATTACATTTAGGGGTTAGGTTGGAGTATAGGATTACATTTAGGGGTTAGGTTGGGGTATAGGATTACATTTAGGGGTTAGGGGTATAGGATTACATTTAGGGTTAGGTTGGGTATAGGATTACATTTAGGGGTTAGCTTGGGGTATAGGATTACATTTTTAGGGGTTAGTTGGGGTATAGGACTACATTTAGAGGTTAGGTTGGGGTATAGGATTACATTTAGGGGTTAGGTTGGGAGTATAGGAGTACATTTAGAGGTTAGGTTGGGGTATAGGATTACATTTAGGGGTTCGGTTGGGGTATAGGATTACATTTAGGGGTTCGGTTGGGGTATAGGATTACATTTAGGGGTTAGGTTGGGGTATAGGATTACATTTTTAGGGGTTAGGTTGGGGTATAGGATTACATTTAGAGGGTTTGGAATTACATTTAGAAGATTTGGGGTATAGGATTACATTTAGAGGTTAGGTTGGGGTATAGGATTACATTTAGGGGTTAGGTTGGGTTGGGGTATAGGATTAAATTTAGGGGTTAGGTTGGGGTATAGGATTACATTTAGGGGTTAGGTTGGGGTATAGGATTACATTTAGGGGTTAGGTTGGGGTATAGGATTACATTTAGGGGTTAGCTTGGGGTATAGGATTACATTTAGGGGTTAGCTTGGGGTATAGGATTACATTTAGGGGTTAGATTGGGTATAGGATTACATTTAGAGGTTAGGTTGGGGTATAGAAGTACATTTAGGGGTTAGGTTAGTGTTAGGCTGCAGTTTAGAGACAAGAGGAAAGTGTTAGGTTGGGGTTCAGAGACAGAGGAAAGTGTTAGGTGGGGGTTCAGAGACAGAGGTAAGTGTTAGGTTGGGGTTCAGAGACAGAGGTGTTAGGTTGGGGTTCAGAGACAGAGGTGTTAGGTTGGGGTTCAGAGACAGAGGTGTTAGGTTGGGGTTCAGAGACAGAGGTAAGTGTTAGGTTGGGGTTAGGGTTAGATTTCGGGGTCAAGCTCTGGGTAAGATATAGAGACAGAGGTAAGGTTGGGGTTTTGGGATAGGTAGGTATTACAATGGCAACTAAAGTACCAACCTACAACCATAAGCTCTGGGTCATTTCATAGGAAACGTTGCCAGATTTTATTCTTCAATGTTTTTTTATGAAATGAAGATAATAGAACATACAAAGTCACAAACAGTGCAAAGGAAACAAAGTACAGAGGAATCAGGTTATCTGTTGCTGCTGGTCCCATTACAGATCCAGGTGATGCCTGGCAGAGTCCTTTATGATTTCCTCCTCTCTTTCCTTCTGCTGTAAAATGCTCTGCACTGGGCTCAGGACTGAAGTGGACCGCACAGAAACAGAAGTAGAAGACGTCATGCTGCAAGAGGCTGAGAGGAAGTCACAGGAAGGATTCACAGGATAGATTCCCAGCAGAACGTAGACTTTCCCAACAATCACAGCCCTTCATGCCTCATGTGACAGTGGGATTATATCAGTATTTACATGTGGTCACAGCCCACTAGCACCTCATAATCACACACTACTTGACTCAATTCCACTTCTGCTATATAATAGTCTGACCCTGACATATCCGCATACAATGACAGGACATGCCACCAATCAGAGGACTGGAGTTTAAAATCTAAAGGAGAGTGACACGTATTGTTGGCCCATTACTTTAGATCAGACTTTTACAACCGATTTATCCCAGAGGAACCCTAAAAAAATTGTCAGGTCTTGGGGGACCCCAGCTAGGAATAGTCCATCAGTGCCTTTAGGAAAATGTCCCTTACATGGGTGGTCAGTGGGGAGAATGTCCCTTACATTGGTGGTCCCTTCAGTGGGGAGAATGTCCCTTACATTGGTGATCAGTGGGAAGAATGTCCCTTACATTGGTGGTCAGTGGGAAGAATGTCCCTTACATTGGTGATCAGTGGGAAGGGAAGAATGTACCCTTTACATTGGTGATTGGGGGTCAGTGGGAAGAATGTCCCTTACATTGGGGTCAGTGTACAGAAATGTCCCTTACATTGGTTCAGTGGGAGGTCCCTTCAGTGGTGGAAGAATGTCCCTTACATTGGGGGTCAGTGGGAAGAATGTCCCTTACATTGGGGGTCAGTGGGAAGAATGTCCCTTACATTGGGGGTCAGTGGGAAGCATGTCCCTTACATTGGTGATCAGTGGGAAGAGTGTCCCTTACATTGGGTCAGTGGGAAGAATGTCCCCTTACATTGGTGGTCAGTGGGAAGAATGTCCCTTACATTGTGGGTCAGTGAGAAGAATGTCCCTTACATTGGGGGTTGTCCCTTACATTGGGTCAGTGGGAAGAATGTCCCTTACATTGGGGGTCAGTGGGAAGAATGTCCCTTACATTGGTGATCAGTGGATGTCCCTTACATTGGGGTCAGTGGGAAGAATGTCCCTTACATTGGTGATCAGTGGATCATGTCCCTTACATTGGGTCAAGAAGAATGTCCCTTACATTGGTGGTCAGTGGGAAGAATGTCCCTTACATTGGTCAGTGGGAAGAATGCCCCCTTACATTGGTGGTCAGTGGGAAGAATGTCCCTTACATTGGGGGTCAGTGGAAGAATGTCCCTTACATTGGGGGTCAGTGGGAAGAATGTCCCTTACATTTGATCAGTGGGAAGAATGTCCCTTACATTGGGTCAAGAATGTCCTTACATTGGGGTCAGTGGGAAGAATGTCCCTTACATTGGTGGTCAGTGGGAAGAATGTCCCTTACATTGGGGGTCAGTGGGAAGAATGTCCCTTACATTGGTGGTCAGTGGGAAGAATGTCCCTTACATTGGGGGTCAGTGGGAAGAATGTCCCTTACATTGGTGGTCAGTGGGAGAATGTCCCTTACATTGGTGATCAGGGGGGGAAGAATGTCCCTTACATTGGGGGATCAGTGGGAAGAATGTCCCTTACATTGGTGATCAGTGGGAAGAATGTCCCTTACATTGGTGATCAGGGGGAAGAATGTCCCTTACATTGGGGTCAGTGGGAAGAATGTCCCTTACATTGGGGGTCAGGGGGAAGAATGTCCCTTACATTGGGGGTCAGGGGGAAGAATGTCCCTTACATTGGGGGTCAGTGAAGAATGTCCCTTACATTGGGGTCAGTGGGAAGAATGTCCCTTACATTGGGTCAGTGGGATCCCTTACATTGGGGGTCAGTGAGAATGTCCCTTACATTGGGGTCAGTGGGAAGAATGTCCCTTACATTGGTGATCAGTGGGAAGAATGTCCTTACATTGGGGATCAGTGGGAAGAATGTCCCTTACATTGGTGGTCAGTGGGAAGAATGTCCCTTACATTCAGTGGGAAGAATGTCCCTTACATTGGTGATCAGGGGAAGAATGTCCCTTACATTGGGGGTCAATGGGGAAGAATGTCCCTTACATTGGGGGTCAATGGGAAGAATGTCCCTTACATTGGGGGTCAGTGGGAAGAATGTCCCTTACATTGGTGATCAGTGGGAAGAATGTTCCTTACATTGGAGGTCAGTGGGAAGAATGTCCCTTACATTGGTGGTCAGTGGAAGAATGTCCCTTACATTGGGGATCAGTGGGAAGAATGTCCCTTACATTGGTGATCAGTGGGAAGAATGTCCCTTACATTGGTGGTCAGTGGGAAGAATGTCCCTTACATTGGTGATCAGTGGGAAGAATGTCCCTTACATTGGTGATCAGTGGGAAGAATGTTCCTTACATTGGAGGTCAGTGGGAAGAATGTCCCTTACATTGGTGGTCAGTGGGAAGAATGTCCCTTACATTGGGGATCAGTGGGAAGAATGCCCCTTACATTGGTGATCAATGGGAAGAATGTCCCTTACATTGGTGGTCAGTGGGAAGAATGTCCCTTACATTGGTGATCAGTGGGGAAGAATGTCCCTTACATTGGTGATCAGTGGGAAGAATGTCCCTTACATTGGTGATCAGTGGGAAGAATGTCCTTCTTACAGAAAAGGTAAATAGACCATTAATGTCATGCTACTGGCATTGCCAAGTGGCGACTGAACCATGAAGGCACTATCAGAGCCACAGCTCAAGGAGCCCTTGCAACCTGTGGAGGAACCCTAAGATTCCACGAACCTTGGTCGAGTATGGCTAACCAGGACATCTGAGCTGCACCTTGTTTCAGAATTCATACATATATTGGTGGTCATAATGTCACCCTCTTAGACCGTTAAAAAGACCATTGGTCTCCTGCCAAGTGGCGTTGGCCCCAGAACTATGCAGGCACGACAAATCATTCAGTCACAGCTCAAGGAACCCTTAGCAACCTTTGAAGGAAGCCAAGGATTCCACGGAACCCTAGCAGAGAATGGCTGCTATAGAGATAGATGGATGGAGACATACTTGCCAGGGATTGATTGGATGATTGCAGTGCCAGGACTCATTATCATTTTCCTCTGACGTGGTCAGTGGTGCATTAGCTGTATTTGTTGTATTTCCTCTCCTGGAAGGAGGAGAGAAGCGCCTGCCCCACCCGCAAGGAAACTTTTCAGCAAGCTCAATCTCTTGTCATCACCCCATCCGCAATAAATAAAGCAATAAAAGCTCCTGATTTTTTTTTTTGTCCAGTCCAGATTTCATTCCGTAGATCTCCTTAGCCATGAAGAAGGGGGACTTTTACCATCCCTGAAACGTGTCGGATTTTCCTTGCGGTCATAAATATAATTGTCTAGCTTTATGTTTTTCAATGCTCAATAAATCTTTATTGGAAAACAAAAAAAAAAATAAATATAATATTTCTGGACTTTGTATACATGCTGCTTCTTTCCCTTATCCTAGCTTAGTATTGCTGTATTGGTGTCCCTGTCGTGGATTTTTTCTCACTTCCTGTCCCTGTGACACCCGTACAGCACATGTATCCAGCTGGGGCACAGAAAAAGCTCTAAACCTTCCCTATTCCACTCCAAAACGAAAAGAAGTTTTGCCCTCAGGTTGGTCCTACACGGCCATAGCAACCATTGTCACCGCGACTGAAAATGAAGTAAAATCCAGAACTTTTAAACGCTTTCCATTGACGTGCATCACGTCATCCAATGTACTGATGAGAATTTTCATTCGAAAGTCCTTTAACCACCTCCTGTCGGACCCACGTATATAAACGGCCGTACGGTGGCAGTTCAGAGTCGGGTGGCTGTTTATAAACACCCTCCCTGCCCTCTGCTTGCGCGCGCTTCCCGGGAGCGCGCAGCACCGCAATCCAGTACCCGCTGTGTCCTCCGGACACAGTGGAACACCGATCGTCGTACGGGACCTCTCTGCAAGGTCCCAATCATGTGATCGCTGATTGGTCAATCAGTGATCACATGAATAGTAAGCAAGATGTCACTTCTGACATCATTGCTTACTACGTGTGCAATCTGTGAATGATCACCGAGATCACATGGTACAGGGCTATTCACAACAGCCTTGTACCATGTGACAAGCTGTGACCAATCAAAGCTCACACAGTATTTCTCAATGGCTGCAAGAATGCAGCTGTTGAGAAGGAGAATGATTGCTTTTACAACCTTTATGGGTGTAAAAGCAATCAGTGTAAAAAAAAAAAAATCTTCATCACCCCCCACAAGTAGCACAGTGTCACCATGGTGTATGTAAAAAAAAACAAATATAAAAAAAATAAAAATGTAAAATAAGTTTACAAATTATAATTTTTGGTTATAAACCAATTTGGGTTATTTTTTTTACTAAAAAGATAACGGAATACATTTTGGCCAAGATTTTATGATGAAATATCATTTATTTGCAAAATTTTATAAGAACAACACTTTCAAACTTTTTGGACTTTTCATTTACATAGCAAAAAAAAAAAAAAAAAATCCCAGCGGTGAATAAATACCATCAAATAACAAGCTTCATCTGTCTCAAAAAAAGCTAAAAAATTCATATGGGTACAGTGTTGCATGACCGCACAATTGTCATTCAAAGTGTGATAACTGAAAGCTGAAAATTGGCCTGGACAGGAAGGGGGGGGGAAGTGTCCGGACTGGAAGGGGGTAAATAAATCTACTAATGTATGAGCGGCTTAGGAAAGGACAAGTCTTTATTTTTTTTTCTTACGAAGCCAGAAAACAACGATTTCAAATTGGTGTCCATGGCCTGCAGCTCCGTCTTGCCTCCCGTGTGACTCCCCCAGAAAACGGCCACCATGAAAGCTTCTCAGGCCGTCACGTGGCACAGCTGTTGTCTCCATTCACCATTGTCTGGTGTCTCCGGGGAAAGATTTCTTTTTTTATTGTTTGACAACTTAGTGGATGCTTTGCCATGGAGGCAGTGCTGGTCCCGGACGTGTCGTATTCCTCCCCACATTTCTGACTCCTCTACCACAGTCCAGCAGTATTGGATGATCGTTGATGATCATTGACGATCGATCTGTAGTGTGCCTGTCCTGGGGCACCCATTGTTGTGGTCTTCCCGTCCAACCCAGAGGGGTTGTGGGGATGGTGGAAGGTGTGACCCTCACCAAGCGCCTGACCTGAGTAGGAGAACTTTCACACCATTTCCCCCTCTTTAACCAGCTTTTCATGAATAAAGTGGACAATAAAATTCCTGACAGCAACAGCGTCATTCCTCAGAAAAACTCCACACCTTTTAGAGTGAAGATGCTACCCTTGAGCACCATTCAGTGACTTTGCCTAGGCTGAGATGATGTCATCAATTTGCTGCAGGCAGGAGGAAGCATTTCCTCAGTCTCCTCTCTCCCCAGTGATCAGGCTGCAACACTAACTTTGTAGTCGGTCACAAGGTGAGAGGCCGCAACATTGTACCTTTGTAGTTGGTCACAAGATGGGAGGCCGCAACATTGTAACTTTGTATCCAGTCACAAGATGAGAGGCCGCAACACTGACTTTGTAGTCGGTCACAAAGTGAGAGGCCGCAACATTGTAACTTTGTAGTCGGTCACAAGGTGAGGGGCGGCAACACTAACTTTGTAGTCATTCACAAGGTGAGAGGCGGCAACACTAACTTTGTAGTCATTCACAAGGTGAGAGGCCGCAACATTGTAACTTTGTAGTCGGTCACAAGGTGAGAGGCCGCAACATTGTAATTTTGTAGTCGGTCACAAGGTGAGGGGCGGCAACAATGTAACGTTAATCACAAAGTCTGCAGCAGGGGCTGATCTGTGTCAGACATTTGTCAATACAACCAAGAACTGCGCTGTCCAAAGTGTAAAAGACATTTGTATCTGTGGCAAGGCGATGCGCATCAGTATGTGGCAATACAACACATTAACGCTGGAGCTGCCTTTTCTGCAGAATCTCTCTCGCTGTATACTGTACATATATATACACGGAGATTTCAGAAATTTGGGGAGGGTGGTTATTCCTCCTCCAAGTAATGACAGACTCCCCCCCGCCCTGACAGCCGCCTATTACTTCTGGTTGGATAAATATCTGGATCACTTGGGGTTGTAGGTCAGATACTGCCAGCTCTGTAAAAAGAGGGATTTTCTCATTGATCGATTTCTAGCGAGCAAGGACAGCCAATGTCGCATCGATCTGCTCAGAGGGGGAAATGATTGCCGCCAAGCACAGGACACAGCCAAGTATTGCTCCAGATTTTCAGTGGATTTGAATTATTCCGGCAGGTGTTTGCTTCACATGGCTGTCAGGTTGTACTGCATCCTAAACCACGTCTGTATCCCAATCTGCCATCTCTGCTGGTCTCATATGTCAGGGCCCCAGCGTCTGCCGCAATCCTGGAGCATGTAGACAATGCAGTCTCCGACCGTCTCCCGTACCGTGGCCGCAGTCTCCGACCGTCTCCCGTACCGTGGCCGCAGTCTCCCGTACCGTGGCCGCAGTCTCCGACCGTCTCCCGTACCGTGGCCGCAGTCTCCGACCGTCTCCCGTACCGTGGCCGCAGTCTCCGACCGTCTCCCGTACCGTGGCCGCAGTCTCCGACCGTCTCCCGTACCGTGGCCGCAGTCTCCGACCGTCTCCCGTACCGTGGCCAGCAGTCTCCGACCGTCTCCCGCACCGTGGCCGCAGTCTCCGACCGTCTCCCGCACCGTGGCCGCAGTCTCCGACCGTCTCCCGCACCGTGGCCGCAGTCTCCGACAGTCTCCCGCACCGTGGCCGCAGTCTCCAACCGTCTCCCGCACCGTGGCCGCAGTCTCCGACCGTCTCCCGCACCGTGGCCGCAGTCTCCGACCGTCTCCCGCACCGTGGCCGCAGTCTCCGACCGTCTCCCCCGTACCGTGGCCGCAGTCTCCGACCGTCTCCCGTACCGTGGCCGCAGTCTCCGACCGTCTCCCGCACCGTGGCCGCAGTCTCCGACCGTCTCCCGCACCGTGGCCGCAGTCTCCGACCGTCTCCCGCACCGTGTCCGCAGTCTCTGACCATCTCCATTAGTATGTCTGCAGATATACATCAACAGTATACTTTTTGTACAAATCTCCCCTTTTTATCAGTAAAAGGTTATCCTTGAGCACTGTTCAATGACTCTGCCTAGGCTGTAATGATGTCATCAGTCTGCTGCAGGCAGCAGGGAGCATTTCTTTAGTCTCCTCCCCCAGTTATCAGATTACGTTGTAAATTTGTAGCAAGATCAGTGGCTGCAGCAGGGGCTGATATGGGTCAAACATTTGTGAACAGAACTGCACAGGCACCAGAAATTCCAGTGTCATCTCTGGGCTGAAATCTTACTCCAGC